TCCTGTATCTGACAGAGCATAGATATTCTACGCTCCAGTTCAGCTGCTTTGTCAAAGAGTGAGAAACAGCCCTGGCATCTTGTTGGAGAGGTTTCAGGAACCATCCTCTGTTCTGTTCTTTAGCTTTGTGTTTCAGATGATGACTGAGCTTAGCTCCCCCTCTCAGTGTGGCTCAGCTGAAACCTGTCACAGCTGTCAGTGGAGACGGTCCAACCTCATGGATCTTTGTTAAATTTGCAGAGTAATAAATGCCAATGACCTGAACCAAAGTAGCTAAAAATTAGCCAAATTTACAGAAAATGAACTAAACTTCAAGTACTGACAAATCACAGAGGATTGTGTCTGATTTGGTGGAAGCTTATTTTCATGGTTTAACCAAAAATAACCACAACTCTGTCTTTCCTTTAGATAAAAATATAACTGACATGAAAGGCAGAGGGCCTTATGTGTTATTTACAGAATGCAAGGCTTTTAGCAGTGTTATAAATAAACAGAATAAAATCTTTTACATATAGATGTTTTATTACACATCAACAAACTGTTCAAAATGTGCCTCAGTAATTACAGTTTTTGTGTCTCTCAGAGGAGGGTCTACTCATCCCACCATGGACCTCTTCCTCCCTCTCAGCCGAACCTCGTCGAGCTTTGTGATGACGGCCGCAGACCTTTTGGACGAGGTGCTGTAGCTCTTCAGCAGCTTGTCAAACAGCAGCTCTGTGTTGGGGTGCGTACTGAGGAAGGCCTTCTCCAGAACAAACAGGTCCACGCCCTTATCCTCCGGCAGAGCCGAGATGTAACTCAGGCCGAAGTCGATGAGGACGAGGTCGGGCTGCGTGTCCTCCGGGCCGCGCCTCAGCAGCATGTTGGAGGTGGTCAGGTCTCCGTGGATGACATCCTCATCGTGCATTTTAGCTAAAATCTGGCCTATGTGCTGAGCCAGTCGCTGCAGCTCTTCCTCCTTACAGGAGCCAGACTGCTGGGAGGTGGTGATGTGGTCTCGCACTGTTACGGAGTCCAAAACCTCCTCCAGGAAAACACAATGACAGCTGTAGTCTACAAAGTAAACAACTGGAGTAGAGATGCCTGAGGAGAGAGAAGAGAGGAGTTAAAACTACAGAGCTGCATCAGGATTCATTACTGCTGAGACCACCGACTGATGAAAGCACAAAGCTCTTTCTTCAGTTTTAAGCACCTCCTCTACGTAACAAATGACTTATTCTGTCACCAACAGCAGCATAACTAAAGAAGTCAATTTGTCAATATTTTTAGTTCGTGCACATTTTCTGAATAAACATGAGGAAGCTTTTAGATCAGCACATCGACCCACACAGAGTTAAATAACGCTGTGCCAGACTGGCGCTGGAGCTTTTCCTTCTCTTCTGTTTAAACTGATGCTATTCTAAATAAAATGTTAAAAGACCCAAATGTGTTTTTGTCCAGTTTTTGGGAGGTCCAAACATCTCCAGGAGACTGAAAATCTTATTTAACCGTGTGTGGAAAAACAAACAAAACATTATGTGCACGTTTTAAGCACATTTAYAGTGGGGAGAACAAGTATTTGATACACTGTTGATTTTTCAGGTTTTCCCACTTGCAAAGCTTGTAGATGACTGTAATTTTTATCATAGGTACTCTTCAACTGTGAGTGATGGAATCTAAAACAAACATCCAGAAAAATACAATGGATGATTTTAAATAATTAATTTCCATTTCATTTCATTCAGCTG